TTTGTTTGTTTGTTTTCTTTGTCCTCTTTTCCTTACTGGTGGTTGAACCGTTTTTATCTTGCCCCCACGAGTTTTGTCACTTTTGTCCTTCCAGTCCTCTCCCCCATCCCACAGGTGGGGACTGAGCTGTGTGGGGCTGAGTTGCCGGCTGGGGTTAAACCACAGCCACCTTCTAAACAGTACTCTCTACTACAACTTGTACGAAAAGGTCACGATCATCATGAAACAAAGATTACACACCTTCCTTTGTGAAAAAGCAACCATATTCCTAGCATAAAAAAAAAATGTAAAAAGGAAAAATATTGTTTTGACTTATGTAAATTGCCATCGTCATCAAAAAGCAAAAGAATAGCCAACTTCAGACATCACTATGATATTTTTCATTACAAAATTATAAAATTTTGGCTACCAGGTTCATTATCAGGTGCATTTGCCAGTGTTTACTCTGACAAAGCTCTGCATTTAAAAGAAGCCACCCAACCCAAGTTTCCAGTGAAACCCAAACAGTGCTTTGTGGAACAGGGGGTTTTGGTAAATAGATGGCTAACGATGCAGACAGATAACAATTTTTAAGTTCCTCAAGAGCACACTTCACGTAATTTTTCTAGTGACCTTGTATGTGTCCTTTAAAACTTTTTTTTTTTTTTAAAGTGATTCTGTTTTCATTTGCCATCGTCATCAAAAAGCAAAAGAATAGCCAACTTCAGACATCACTATGATATTTTTCATTACAAAATTATAAAATTTTGGCTACCAGGTTCATTATCAGGTGCATTTGCCAGTGTTTACTCTGACAAAGCTCTGCATTTAAAAGAAGCCACCCAACCCAAGTTTCCAGTGAAACCCAAACAGTGCTTTGTGGAACAGGGGGTTTTGGTAAATAGATGGCTAACGATGCAGACAGATAACAATTTTTAAGTTCCTCAAGAGCACACTTCACGTAATTTTTCTAGTGACCTTGTATGTGTCCTTTAAAACTTTTTTTTTTTTTTTTAAAGTGATTCTGTTTTCATAACTTTTATGAACTGTCAAAAGAACGATGTATTCATTCTCATTGCAGGGTCTGGCACTCACAGCAGGGGAAATACTTTCACACTGCTGTTTGTGAAAGAGACTTGATTTGACCCCACTGAATTTTAGAACCAGATTAAGAAGTTGCATGTGTCTAATAACGCTTCAAATACAGGTTTTAAAAGCACTGGTGATCTAACACACAGCCGGACACAACGTTCCTGCCAGTACCCACCCCACCACGTGAGACTGACCCCAGCGAGGAGCTGAACTTAGCAACACCATTTAGCTGCGGAGCTGTTACTGGAGTGATTAGTTACAACAGCTCAGAGCAGGCAGATCACTTCACCAGGGAGGATCTGTGTAAGATCAGGGCCTGAACACGTTCCTTCCTTTCATCTGGCCTCAGCTTCAGGAAAAAACATGCTTCCCCCCCTGCCCCAGCCCGCTCCCCATGTCAATGGACATTAAGCATACGTTGCCTCACTGTTGGAAAGCGTTGCATTATTTAACTTCATTACTGTTTGTTGAATTGCTTTCATACAGTTCTCACCTTGCAAAAAGCTTTTAAGTGCATTAATGTGGCGCGTGCTTAAACTCCTCCACATGTGAATCGTGTGGCTTCATAGCGGGACCTTACTTACAGGAGACAGGGCACAGGGCGGTGGCTCGCCTGCCTCCCCCTGCCACCTCTCTGACTGAAGTTGTTCCTGTCCCTCCACTCTCCAGACAGCCCTCGCCTTCCCTGCCGAACAGTGTCTACCCCCTCTCTCCATGTTGCTTAATCCTCCAGAATTATCTCCGAGCTTTCTGCTCAGCTTGGTGGAAGACAGGCCATGCTGATGGGAAAGGCACCCCTGAACCTTCAACCGCAGCTGCTGCAGCACTTCAAAGGCAGCTACCACAGCTAAGGATTTAGGCTGCAGCTGGAATCCAAAGGCTCAAGGTGGGGTCCCCAGGGCCGAGCAAAAAGAGCAAAGCTCATCTGTAAGGATTAAAACATGGACAGGTAATGGATCTAAATGGGGCAGGGAAAGGCAGGGAGAGTGGAAGTCAGTATACAATACAGAAAATCTGAGGAGGTTAAGAGGGGCAGCAAAAGGAGGGGCTGGGGGCACAGGAGACGAGAGATTCCTGGTTAGCATAAATAATATACATGTATGTTAGGGAGGAAGAATGACAGCAGCTTGGAAATGTAAACAGAAATATCTCCAGAGGAGGCAGGGGTTTAACACAGAAAGTGTCAAAAAGATCAATGGGAATAAAACACAAAAGGATGTGCAAGTCAAAGACAGCTAGAAAAACAGGCGCTGAGAATAAAAGATCACGATGAGACGGAGACATAAAATCCATCTGTAAAATAGCTTGGACTTGGAGATGTATCACAGCCTTCCTACTGCAGGATTACCCCAAATGTAAAAGCAAAAGTTTTTTATTATTCAGGGCAATAAGGGGCTTTGCGTGTCAAGATATAAAAGCATTTTCTTCTGAAATGGAAGTTACAGAAGTTTTTAAGAGAAAAGCACTGTTTGGTTTTCAAGACCATGCCACATATTACTTGGGAAGCAGGACTATGAAGCCGACTCACGTGCACGGGAGAAAGACAGCTCTAGCCACCTAGCTGCCCCAGGTCGTGCTCGGCTCCTCCGAGGGAGCAGCTCTCATGAATATTTGAACATACGGGCAGAGTTCAGGACACAAACACACCAAGAAACCTGAGGGCTCAAAAAAAAAAAAAAAACCAAACAAAAACTTACCATGCGCTTCAGAGGGCATAAACTTGTAAACTTACCAGCTACTTCAGAAAAACTGTTTGAACAGAAGTTCTCCTCTGGTGGTAGTGGAAGATAGTTCGCCTTTCAGTTGCATTTAACCATAAGGTAAAGCTATGCGGTGGGACACGAACTGCACGGGACAGGAGCAAGAACACAGACTGTAAGCCTAGCATCAATAATTTATTGCAAATTCACACCTACCTTGGTGTAGAATAATTTCTCAGTATCTCAGCTTGTTTCTGAGAATTTCCCACATTCAAATGATAAAATATGACAACACTAAGTCATTGCCATGTAGTTACAAAACTATGCGTCAAGCTGCACATTGTACGGCTTAAAAATGAACTTAGCTTTTCAATGAACTTGGAATATATCAAACTAATAACAAATAGCACACTTTTGCCATCTGAATTTTTTTTAACATAGTTAAAATAGTTTAGCTATTTTAATTAAACCATTAATAGTTTAATAGTTCCAACTATTAAGCACTTGCTTGAACAGCTTAATAGGCGCACTCACTTGAAGGACCTTATCATTTCCACTTGTGATACACAAACTTACTTCACTCAGCCTCCTTCATTTCCTCAATCATCTCCAAATCTTTTGTTGTACTTTATAAGAAAACACATTCTAGAGTTAACACAGGAAGAGATTTCTAGTTTGGAATCAAGTTCACTTAATTTTTGTTTCTCTCCTTAGCCTTCCATTCAGATGCGCCGGCAGAGAACTGCATGTCTAAAAGAGACTGCTGGGAAAGGAACAGTGGAGAAAGAAATGTGATGATCACAGAGCAGACAGCTTTTTATTTGTCGTTTACTCTGAACTAGAAAAAATAAAAAGAGTCCCAGGCCAAAAGTCATTCAGTTAGTTATTAAAAATGACTGATCCTAATTGATCTATCAACAGTTTCTAATGTATGCTGAATATATCACTCAACATTCACAGCCCAAACTGTTGACTGAGGTTCATCCATATTCATGAAGACATATGAGCATATCTACTACTGCAAGAAGTAATGCTGATGCGGTAATAAAAATACATAAAACCACTAGCATTTTTGAGAGCATCCACAGAGACAACTCAAGAGTTCAGAAGAGTAATTATTTTTGTATTACAGCTTTATTTCAAGCACTGTTTCTTACTGGATACGACTGATACATTTTGCACTATGTATATATATTAATGGAATACTTTCCAAATTACCCATAGAGAAAATGTATTATGTGCTTAAAATTATTCCAGCGATAGCTTTTCCAAGTTACATTTTGCTGAGTGCTAGTTCAGATCACAGGAGGAAAAAAAAAAAGAGAAAAAAATTTTAAAAATGCTTTGGCAAAATACCCTTCTATGGTGATGTCTGTTAAAAGTATTTTGAATACAGGGCTTCTTCATCTGGTTGTTTTTCTCGTATCAGTCAAATAGATAGGAGGAAACATATAAGCACAGGTATACTGCTTTACTTAAATATAATTTAAAAGAATATAGTTCTTAATTTTTCAAGGTGTGTGTGGTCTTATGTTTGAATTTCAGCCCGTCAAAAAACTGCCTGCGGCTTCTCAACGTACAATGGGGTGCAACACATTTTTGAAACCTCTAATTGCATTGTTGCGATGGTCGCTGTTAAAACAAAGTTCCTGTTCCTGTCCCAGAGCCTGTGTCAAGGTAGGAGGACCGCCAAAGGTATCAAAACAGAGAGGAGTAGCATGGTCATTGAACTGCGCACATGGAGCTTCTAGGAGGATTAACGGTTCTTGTCACGGGCTCCTGGCTGTAGTTGACAATATCTGCCTTCACCACCCTCTGTCACAAAAGAAGACACAGTAACAATCAGAAAATGTAACCCTCATGCTGGAAAAGCATTCAACAGATATTTTGCTATGAAATATGAAGGGAAAAAAAAAATCAGGCAAAACAGACACTGTTTAGGGTTTTTTCCATTACCTTACAGAAAGCCTTATCAGGTGCTAATTCTCGTTCTAAATACCGCTTTATCCATACTAAGCAGAAGGAAGTGCCTCGGTAGGTTTTCACAACACTACAAATGGAACATGACTTTTTTGCAAAAGCAACAGATACAGTTTTACTTCCATAAAAATTGTTTTGTACGTAAACAATAGAACAATATTTGTTTACAAAGACTATGGTATGCATTCTTTAAGAATAACTGCCTAAACTGTAATTGGAAATTGTACCTAAATTTGTCTTTCCATCTTTACCCCAAGCACTTCACAGGAAAAGCTGAACAGAATTCAAAACAAATTTCAAATACAATCATATTTCAAAAAAGCTTTGATAGGCAGAGTGACTAAAGACTAAATTAACATAACAAGAACCTCTGCATACCATAAATACCTATTTTCTAATACAGATCAAACAGATATTACCCATTCTATTTACAAAGCATTTGATAAGACTGTTGGCCTCCCCTCTATGAGGAGAGGGAAATGAGATTCCAATTTTGTGTCCATTTCCATCTGAGGCAGCTATGCAACGTTTTGAATATACAGCACTGAAGTACCTTCCTGATACAGTAGCATGAAGTATTTCTAAGTTTCTATGAACTATCTCATTAGTAGAAACACCATGTCATTGTACCCAGAATTCCAAAATAATTGTGTTAAGTATTACAAATGCTTACAGATACAAAATATATTTTTCCAATAGCACTTACTGTAACAGTTGTTACTTCATGTAAAAGCAATGCAGCTTGAAAAAAAACCCCAAGTTTTCCATCAGTACCTGAACTACTGCATTGAGCAGACTTTGCTCTGGCAGTTGGAGGTGTTGTGATGTTGGTTATCTTCTTCAGGATATTTCACTAGTTCTGCCCTGACAACATGCTGTTAATCATGTATCAACATAATGGATAGAGGGCACGGAGAAGAATGTAAAAAGAAAAGAGAAGGAAAAAAAATTGAGAGATTGATCAGTAGTTGAAAAGAACGAATGAATGACATAAAAAGACTATGCAAAAGCAAAATGAAAGTGCATATCTTTTCAGGCCTTATGCTGATACAAGAGCAATGTGTCTCGCTGAAAGCAGCACTATCAGCATCAGGGCTGCTTCTTGGGCTTCTTCAAGGACATGCCCTTTCAAAGCACCAAAGCGAAATATTGATACGTGGAATCAGCAAAAGTGTATTAAAGCAAGAGAAGGGACAGAATGAAAAGGAAGGCAATTCAGTGGAAGAAAAGATGACAAGGGCCTATTCCTTTAAGTCTAGGATACTTAAACATTACATTAGTCAGCTTCCTATCAAAGACTGTACAAGTGCATTAGATGTACACATGCATCTTTCCCATTACCTAACTACTGCATTGTAACAGAATATATAATCAGAAACAGCAACATAAATTAACAACCTCACATCTAATTGCGGCAAAGCTTTGGTTTTTCTTTACTTCATATAAAAACAAAAGGCTCTCATTTCTCCCCTTAAAGACAAATGAAACTGTTGAAAGTTTTCTCATTATTAATACAGTGTTCATGCAAACAGGAGAAAAATTCATAGGACAATTTCATCAAAGTAGTAACACAGGAGGTAAGTCTACTATGAAAGATACTCTAAACCAGTTTAAAAATTTTTTCTTAAATACTTCAACACAACACATTTTCAAGGTTAAAACGAATGGATAAATGAATGAATATTATTACTTTAAAGAAAACAATATATAAACTGGACTATATGAATATATAAACAGTATATGTTAAAGATTACCTCTGTAAATAAAACCTGTATGTCAAACAAGCAACAATAATTGAATTGGCTGGTAAGGGATCTGGATTTATTAGCTGCTGATGTAGTCTTTTTGAGTTTAATTGATCACATTCATATTATCTTATCTCATGGACAACACTCATGATTTACTGGACTCCTGGCCTGCTGTTATCAAGGGAAAGGTTGCCAAATCCCATGTAAGGCGGTAGTAGGAGTTTTAGGATTAAACAGTGTTATCTGACCTCACAGGACCTAGTTTCTTCATCCCAATCTTTTGACTAGAGGGAGGGGGTGTTGAGGGGGAGGGGGGGACAAGTCTTGCAATCAGTAGGCAATTAATTGTTCCTCAAAACATTGGTCTAAATCCCATCCTGTAAACACAGGCAGGTTAGTGACCCATGCTTAGGCATGTTGTAGCAAGAAACTGACTATCATAAATGACTGGGATTTTCTAAAGGAATTTCATATAAATAAAAAAAAAGGTAAAAAATACCAAAATACCAGTAAATACCACTGCAACATTTCTTTTAACAACTTCATGGTAATTAAAAACTTGGGCTTCTTTGTATGAGTTTCGAGGACGGGCATATCATTGCCATGGTTCAAACCAGTGTCAATAATGAGAAATAACCTTTCTTGGTGCAGGTGTTCTGAATTCCAGATCTGACTTATCTGCCAAATGTTTTATTGTACAGAGCTGGTGCACACACCCCCTAGTTTGCTGAACTGGCATTTAGTTAATGAGAAAACTACACATCACTTACAAAAATGCTAGCTCTTGCCAATGCCAAGGAACAAAGCTATACCCCATGCAGTTTTTACACCACGGTTGAAAGTAAAAAATATAGAAAGAAAAACATTTGATTAGTAAAGGAGCTATTTCCTCAAATTTCATCAGACCCTTGCGATTTAAAAGAGAGAGTATTTTGAGGACTGAAAATAAGTCAGAATCTGCAATTTTCTTACTTTGGAATGCTTCCACTTCAAAAACATGCTCTACTTTCCAGTCACGCATAGAGAGTAATCCAGTTCTTTGTTCCACCACAGTTTTGACCAAATAAAAAGTTTGATTAACAGTCATCTCAGCATGCTAACAGACAAGGTTTAGTAGCTCTAGCTGAGATAGTTTAAAAACTTACCACCCCCAAATGTCTGTCCTATTCCTCTGCTGGAGATCACTGCTGCCAAAGGAGAGCTGGTGGAATGTAACGTGTACTTGCACCTCATCCGCTTCAGCACAAAGTCTGGCAGCTTCACTTAAAAACAACTTTCAGCAGCAGTTTAAGCTAAGCTGCTCAACTTCACCCTGATGTGGCCAAAGCACATGATCACCTTCCATTTTCTGATTCTGCTGTGGGAGTGATAAATTCCAGCAAAAGGGCAGTAACAAATAGCTTGGGTTGCATTAATATCTTAAACTGCTGCAACTGTTTTCTAAAACAATGCATGGTAAATAATTCCATTTCTAAGGCTTGTTCTTACAGTTAATTAACAGAAGTTTTGCTGTTAATTTGAAGGGGACCAGGAACCCCCATCCACTTTTCACAAGAGCTTCTGCAGTTCTGCCAGTTATCAAAGCCCAAAAGTCATGAATCAAGCCCCACAAATTCATACAAGGTAAAATAATGTGTTTGGGATTCCTATTACTTATTTCTAACCACCTGTGAATCACTTCCAAGATCTTCCTAGAGACTGTGACAATTATAATCGATTTTAAACACAGGAAATATGATCTTCGGGCATAAAAATCAAAAATGTGAGAAAAGATTTTTAAAGAGTATTCTTAATATTAAGCAATCTGTAATAATGAAGAAATGTGTAATAAAACATAATTCACATATAGCATTTCACCATTGGCATTTTACACAAACTTAGTATTTCATCTTATATTTTGCTACCACCTAGATTGAATGAAGACATCGGATGTCCTCTGGCAAACGTATTCAAGCAACAGCCTTCTCACTTTTCAAAACGACAAACCCTCGGAAAACTGGAAGATATAATCCAGCATGTAAATAGGGGACATTTGTAAGAACTAAAATGTGTTTTACTCTTTGTTCAAAAACTAAACCTAAGTCAACACTTGCATACTTACTGACTTAAGGATGAGTCACACTTACTATTGCATTTTTCATTTGATTCTTTACAGCATTTGTCTAGCATCCATCTAGCTAGCTATCTACTTTTGTAGTCCAATAGCTAGAGTATTAAATTCCTAGAAAATTTAAGGAACACATTCCCATAACTGTTCCACAATTTACGGAAGCCCTGTGCCCATTTTACAGATGAATAAAAAAAAAAAAAAACAAATAAACCACCACCACACTAAGGAGCCTGTATCTGTCATACAAAAAGTCTGTGGTAAACCAGAAACCTAGTCATGGCAACATCATCTAACACCACCTCCTTCCAGCCAAGAGACCAGCTCCATGCTTTTGGGAAACAGCATCAACACGTTACTTCAGTTAGTCTTTTCCACTGCAGACTAATAGATTTCTCTTAAGAAATGTCCTTCTATTCATCTCCCTGAGGATATGAAGGTTAAAGCTTTCCTTCTCCAATTTTATGCAGAGACTTCACCTTTCCTGTCTTAAGAAGTGACCAAGATATTTGGTTCCATACAACAATGAACCTTAAGATACAGCTAACAGACAGGCACTCCAATACAATTCCCACTGGTTTCTCACTGACTTAAATTGGGGCAATTCCTATGGCCCACTCAAAATAGCACTATGAAAGGAAGCAAACATTTTACTGGTAACAAAGAACTATTGCTTGTTTGGAAGAGATTGAAACTACACTTGAGTAGCAGAACCTTGCAGAGTCAGGCAGCTGCTTTCCAGTTCTCACGCTTTAGCTACATGCAATGCATAGCACCACATAGTGACTTCTGCTGTACCTGTAGAGTGACAGTGACGTTTCTTTTCTGTCCAACTCCGTTTACCAGCTTTGTTTCTACTTTTGTTGTGTTTTTTTGTTGTTGTTCTTGGTTTTTCAGGGCAGGGGGGTACCTTTTTTTTTTTAATCACTATAGCTTGGATTCACATGAACAGCCAATGTGTGGGCCACAGTGAGTATTTAATTTATGCGTATTTACTATTTATAGGCTATTGCTACTGCAATTTGTGTAACATCAACTTTGTCTGATCCACATATTGCATATTGCATTGATCTGCTCAATAAAATTAAAAATTGTAATTACAAAAGTAAGGTAGAAAGAGGCCTACTTAATGCCGATACCAATTTGACATTAAAAGTTATGTACTCTTGAGTCAGGGCTATACAGAGGTTCTTACTTTAAAAACAACCTAAAAATAGACACTTTCCTTAGGAAGCTACAATTTTCTGTATCACCCCATTTCTCATATTCTCTTTTTAATTTATTTGCATACCTCTCTACAAGCTTACACCTGAGTTACCAGAGCACACCACCACACAGCAGAAAGAGGTCTAAGACTGATGTTCCAGTGCTAAACAACCAAAGAAAAATTAAATAACTCTATGTGCTGAACTATTTATATGCAAATAAGCATAGAGCTCAGAACAATAGATGGATGGTGCCTTAATAGTAGAAGATCACTGAAAAGACACAGCATTTCTCTACCTACAAATTACAGCTTTCTGAAGCTCCTTAGCTTTGCTTGTTCAGTGCGCACTACAAGTGTATTTTACCATTTTACTGTTTGCAATACAGTTTTCTAGTTAACCACTTCAACACAGATTGTAAACACTGCTGTGGCAAAACACTTTCAGAAATTACATATTTATTGTATATTTCAAGAAGCAGGAGACCAAGCTGTACAGAAGAAATGTTTTGCCTTTCTTTTAAATAAGCTTGTTATTTTGTGGTACTTGTTTAATGTTGGTAGTAACTAGCAGCTCCAGGATATTACACCACCAGAACAGCTAGCTTCCTTTTGATTCAACAAGTAAATTTAAAAATAAGCGTACTGTAATCTCCAGCATCATTATATAGTAAGGGTTGCCTCGGTAGTATAATCTTAGTTTTCGAGGCTTCTTAAACTGGGCTTGTATAAAATCTTTCTGGTTTAAACCATTACAAATTTAAATATGCACACAGTCTTCCTGGCAGGAAAATTATTTATAGAAGCAGGAACTAGGAAGAAGGAGGTGGTAAGGGAAAGGGGGTTATATTAGAAAACCTCTTGCTTGATTGCTTATTTGAACAATTAACATGTTTTTGATGTCCTAACTTTCACTGATAAAAACTAAGTGACTTCCAACTCTGGTAGATACAGTTAAGCAAGCACATTTTTAATTAATATAGTTACAGTTAAAATTTTTTAAAGCCATGAAAACACTTTTCCCCCGCGAATTCATAAGGTCATAAAACCATGTTCTCATTAGGGCTGTTTTGCATACATCAATTACTGAACAGCGTGAACTGCAAAGCTCTGCTACAGTTCAGAGCAGGACACGCAGCAGGGTTTTGCCACATGTTCACAGCGAAATCCTTATATTCGCATCCCTAACTCACTGCTAACCAATATAAGAGAATGGGGCACAGCCTTCTTGACAACCTTCCCACCTATTGCTCGGAAACATTTTCCTCTCTCTCAGCCCTTTCTTACTGCAGAGGAAATGGCAAAAAATCCCCAAGATAATACTCATAACGCAAAGAACACAAAACGCAAAGGCAGAAACTATGCAGCTCCTTTAGGGGGAGATTATTTGGGACTGGTAGACTGACAAAAAAATTTGCAGATGCCACGGAGCCATAATAGCTACCCAGACATACGATTCCATAGGTCTGCCTGATATTGAGAATGGGGATGCTGAACCAGAATAGGGTTCATTTCTCATCTGCACATCAGAATAAAATGGGAAATAGTGACTACAACATCAATATTCCTTCCCTGAGGCAGATAGTCACTACTGCAGAAAGTATTCTGGTCCTGTATTATACAGGCACACAATGAAAACTAAAATCTGAGATTAATCAAACAGGATTTGACATAGTTAATTCCTGACTCTGCGACTGACAAATAATATTTTTTCCTGTATGACTAATATGAAGATTGATTTAGAACATTCCCACTCACAGAAGCTTATGCCTTCTATCACTTAAATTTTTAGTGTTCTAAACCAAAATTTGTTTTTAAATATGTAAAGGGTTAAAAAAGAACAATCATCAAAACTGTATCTGACATCAATGTACAGTAATTAATGTATATATGTCTTCCATGATACCTGGATATGCATACATATAGAGAGGTTTTCATTCCTAAACCAATTTTAAGTACTATTTTTAAACAAACAGCTCTCAAACTGAAGTTTTGTCCTAATTTTTTGAGCATATATTTTCTTGTTTCAGCAAGTTTATAATGATGGATAAATAAAGAATTATTATATTTAAAAAAGCTGTTGTGAAAGTAAATAATTGTCTTCAGAACAACAGATGCAGCTTGCTTTAAAGGACAGTTATTAATTTGCAATGACTTTTTCTTTAATACTCATTAAAATACTATGAGAAAAACATGTATTTGTGGAAAATCACCTGTGATTGTTCCAATTCTGCTTTGTTTAGTTTGATGCCAAGTATGTCAGCAGCAATTCTCTGAAAACACAGGAAGACCTATGGAAAAAAAATTAAATTGCATTTAAATGATTAAGAACAGACATCTTTCAGGTTCTTTCAAATATATCAAACCATTCTTGAACTGTAAACAATGAGATATACAAAATTATGACCTTTGCAAAACAGATCTGAAAATAACCTCATCTGGTACATTCAATTTTGTTTAAAAATTGTAGAAAATAAGTCAACAATGGTACAAGGAATGAACAGTATGCTGGATTGTTAAGCAACACTTCTACTCTGCCTCCAGAGACCTAAGTTTAAACAAGCTTTTACACAACCCACCTCTCAGTGCTATAAAATATGAATAAGGGTATTCACTAATGTTTAGCACAAAAATATATTACCAGCGTATTGTGCCACAGAGATGTAGGTTTCTGAAACTGAGAACAACAGAACTGTGCATCAACATGCCCAAAATCTCTACCGCACGCGCTTAAAAAAATGAGCAATACAGAAGCCAAGCAATGATACATTTGTTCTGAAGAGTCTCGCAAAATGTTATGAGTGTTACACCAAGCAGAAGTTATCTATAGGGTACAAGCAAGATGGTGTACAGCATGCACCAGCCTAGCAGAGTTAGGCTTTGGACATGGTTTGACAGATAACATGGGGTGGCAATGCTATCTTAAGTAACCCCTTTACTTCATCTCAGTCCAGTCCACCAATTTTACTGTTCAGGCAGCTGCATTTTAAATGCAATTAAAGAACACAACAGACGTTGAAGAGGAGGAGCTTAAGCTTGCTCTGCTGCTGAACACTGTATTGTCAAGCTACACATTATATTTTACCTACATGGTTATTTGGCTGAGCTCACAATCTAAACTACTGGCAAACATTGCTTTTCATCATGCAGCTGCCACCCCAAAAGGTAAGGCCTGGGTAAGTAACTTTCAATGAAAATTCAAAAAAATACCATTTACACAATCTCTTCTTACACCTGACATGGAAACTAGTAACAAATTAGTGGCACAACCAATGAGCCATGGTAGCTTCCAAAATAATTTCTCTTTCTCTGAACTACTTGGTCTAGTACTGGTCTATTCTACTAGCATCCACACAGCAAGAAACAAAATCCTGAACAGGCTTACCTTTTCCAGAGACCTACTTTAACCCACAGCAGGCTCTCAGGTGTACTGAGCTAGATCCCCTGCCATGAGGATGCTTTGTACACAAAACATCGGGTGCAAGTTCAGTGCTTTAGTTATGCAGTTTGATGGACAGTAAGACAGTTAGCTATACCAAATCTTTCATAAAAGTTTTTCTCCCCTGAGGAGACTTTTGGGCTTTTCTATGTACACATAAAATTATCTTTTGCAAACCAGTCTGTTGGAAAGATCTGAGGTAAACAAAGCAAATCATTTATCTTAACTGAGTATTTAAGACTCCTCTAGTCTACATTCACAGTAGCAATGGATGGCCTCTTAAATCCCTGTCTAGGGTAAACACCCTGTCCTTCCTGCACAACTACCCCAAAACATGAAGATTTTGAAAGGCCAGTGTGCAGCAACAGTGAGTTAATTTGAATTTATACTGAAACTAAAAATTAACTACTGTAAACTATACCTCATACCTTCTTTTGTTAGTAGACATTTAAACAGAGATTTCTGATTAATGCTTTCTAGGTATGTTCAGATTTACTTTTGGTTTAAACGGTTAAGTTAAAAAAAAGTACGATCAGTATATATAGTGGGATGCTGCTGTAATTCATTAATCAATTAAAAAGATGTAATAAAGATTCCTTCATAACTTGTAATGCTAAATATAGCAACCTTATAAAAAGAACTGCTTTTTCTTCTTATTACCAAATCCCACAAAAAGGTTGTCTCCTTGAGAAAGGAATATATTTTGTCAGATGCATACTTCATTGACTGAAGTATTATAAAATTTTTCTTGTTTCTAGCACAAAAAGCTTGAATTTTCACACTTTAAACAAAAATTTATGCCAAAATTTAACACAAACTATAAAGAGAATCAGGATTTGTAACAGCACTATTGTTAGACTTTACAGAATAACTATTGTCTTATAAAATTAGGCAGTACAATGCAGAAGTTTCAGCAAAGCCATTAAAACCAGTGATTCCATTTGTGTTACATAATTATACTTCCATATAATTGAACATGGTCTTACCATTCAATAACATAAAGTAAGTTATGTTGTCATAAATAGGAGACAGATACGGGACTGGTTTATGGGAATGACAGAGTCATTAGGCATGTGACAGAAATCAAGCAAAACAATACAGTGTGATTTAACACGACTGATACAGTCAGCTGAAACAGAACCTTTTCTTCCATAGGCTTCCAACTAAAACAAATAACCCAGTTAGCTCACAGTCAAAAGATTGTTCAAAAATGTGCTCCACAAAGCATTACAAATACCAGGATGTTCAAATTTCAATTGGCCTGCAGAGGAAGTGTCTCTCATGGCTCAGGACCTGTATTAAAAACTTTGATCACAACAGGGTCTTGTGACATTATCAACTGTTGAAAGTTTCTGTACTGATGGTCTGTAGATAGGACTCCACCTGGATTGAAGGAATACATTTAATTACAGGCTGACAGCAAGCAGAGATCCAGCTGGTCTCCATTCTCATGCTGATGTATAAGCTAGACCATTTCCATATTAAAATCTATACCTCAAACTGCAAATCAGATGAGAAGCCACTGTAATTAATAGAGAACATATACACTTACACAAAGATCTATTTTTCACACAAGTAGGTAGGCAAAAAGGACCTGCAGCAGCCAAAGTTCTCAATGGCTTGATACACAAAGTATAATAAAACTGCTACACCATATCCCAGAATAACGGCTTTCTCAAAAAAAAAAAAAGAAAAAAATAAAAAAACATCTAAAAGATTCTTATTTTTCTTACTTACAGAATCTCCTGTCTTGGCTGACACGAAATGGCTACTGAAATTGTTTTCCTGACAAAATCGTTGGTGCTTGTCAAGTTTTACTGTGCGCATGTGCTCCAAGTCAACTAAAAATAAGTTGAAAAAAGGAAAAATTACTACAATGGAGCCCATTTAGTTACCTGTCTTAGAAATCACTCACTGGAAACACATCAGATGTAACCTCTTCCTTTACAGATGTATCCAAATACATGTTTCTTTCTCTTTATAATCATTTGCCGAAATAAAAATAACATTACCTCAAATTAATTTTATTTGCAAAACTAAAATGAAACCACAATTAAAATTATACGGTCAAATGCAACAAATTCATATCTGAAGTAAAGGACAAATTTATTTCTGTATACACACAAGAAATTTGTAACAACTTTACTGGTAGCTACATACAAAAAACTGAGACAGAACTAAATTTTGAGCATTGTGTTTGCAAGCATGATGTGTATTGGAGATTCCAGTGTAATCTAAAGACTTTTACAAAATAGAATTCACCAGGCAGATATGAATCTACATACTTTTCTATACTACATGCTTTTCTAATAAAAAAATGTAAACAAGTTGTGAAGAATTTTACCGCAGAACACGGTCGAGCAAAAACATTCACTATAATAAAAAATTAGCTGAGTAAAAACATTGATGTTACTTGTATATGAAGTTTTCAATTCCACAAAGGCATGGTTCAGAAAATTAAAAACAGTAAAACACATATTTCAAGAGTCACACACATTTTCATTTTTATCATTTTACAACCACTGGAAGCAGAGCAAAGCTTTCAAATGGTATTTTATGTCGAAAAGCACTGGTTGCTTCCAAAACAACATGGAACTCAAGCCTTGCACAGGTTTTATTGTGTACATTCCAATTTCTCCAAATCTGATCCTAAGGTAACTGGAAACTATATTGAACAGTTTCTCTTTTTATTGCATTACTGTTCCTATAAGGTGTTGACTCAATGCCGTCAAATTATAAGGCAAGTATATTCAGAAGGATTTAAGGACAACCAGGCTCTTTGAGTGAATACAGGAAAAAAAAACTTAAACTGATTTCCTGAGGAAGGGACCCAACTGACTTGTAAAAACTTGTAAATTTGCAAATCTAGTAAGCCTGCATAATAGTGTCATTTGATTATCAGCTGAAAAAATGCTCTCCTACTACATAAAAGGCTTTATTTTAAAATGATATTGGAGGTCTTTAATTTGTAGGCTCTGGAGATTTTCTCGTGGAGATTTTTAGTCTAACAGGGGATTCCTACACCCCATTTATACTGCTTACCTTGGTTAGCATAGAGTTTTTGCCACATATTACTGTTACTTGCACATCAGTAAGGCCTTGTTTATAAGAACAGGCCTAAAATCATCCAGTTACCACAGGCATTAATTTGTGAAGGACTAAAATACTAAGCTATTAACACTGATGTTTGTAGTACAGTTTTTCATAATACTAAATGTAGAATATATAGTTTCATAAAAAATAGGAAGAACAAATACATTTACTACAATAAAACCCAAAGTCGATAACAATTTTGTTAAAAACGCATGCAGTCTACATAACAGCTACTTAACTTTTTTTTCCCTCTGAAAAATAATTGCCAGAAGAGAGCCTCTGTTGAAACACTTTTAAGAATAAAATACAGCATACTGCCTAAGCCATATCATTATTAACTATTATTTTTACTCTTTACAAATTAGCTCTAAGTGCAACTTGGAAAACACCACAGTGAGATTACTCTTTGGGGAAAAATAAATATATATTTTCTTTATTTTTTATTTGACGAGCTCTTAAAGGAACATTAACCCCACCTCCAAATTTCACTCACTGTATTTCTTCGGCTATACCTGAACTCCAAAAACCTTCACATGATTTCAATAAAAATAAATAAATAGAGAGACAGCATTTATATTGTGTCCTTCTAACATACGATGACACGCTTATGGAAGTCCATGAAGACAAGCTCATGAGTTACAATCCCTCTCTCTAGCTCTCTTTCCCAAGAATAGGGCATGGAAGAACACAACAGCGTGCTAGAAGTTGATGAATTTTCAGGAAGAAAACGACACAGCCATATTGGAAATTATATCCTCAAATGCATCCTATTTTCTATTTGAAGAAACGTCAAGAATAATATATGGTCAGTGGAGCATATACTTTACTACAGCAGAGAAATTAAAAGCACACAAGATCCTAGAATCTAACAGACTGGAAGTGAAAATCAAGGTGAAATTATGTTTCTGAATTTTGTGTAATTCTCAGTCCCTCTCCCCACTTACAAGTATTTCACCTTGTGCCTTCTGAATTATGGGCAGTCTGGTGCGAACTGTACGGTTACTGTTACGCCAGATAACTGCCAGGTAACTGTCCATGTGCACACTCTCAGCCCACAGTAAACGCAAGGCAATTCATGTTACATTAGCTCTCAATGAAAGAGGGCACAGTTTTAGTACAAGAAAAGGGTTTCAAGCGTTAATAAATATTTAACTATAAAAAGCTGCAGTTTGCAGTCAATGAAAGACGACTATGCTAACTCGAATTACTTTGCATTGCCACAGGCTAAGGGCACAATCATAGACAGTTACTGAAGATCAGCTAAAATACAGTGAAAAATTACCCTCCAGTCCTTGTTTTTGAACATCTGACATTGGTCAGCTCGACAGGCAGAATTCTTAGCACACCAGGAGATAAGTCTTGTCCAGATTTTATTTAGACATCACAGCAAAAAGACTTTAAGGAGGGATTTGGAGGAGAAAAATGATTTTTCTAAAAAGATGTTTATAAGGAATGCAGGGACTTTATAGAAAGAAAACTAACAGCTGGCCAATGTGGGCTGGTTTGAAAAGTTTAAAGGCAAAGAAAAATAAGTTTTGGAGAGAAAGAAAGAGAATCAGATACATAAATATAGTCTGATTTTACAAAGCAGGAAAATGATCTTGCAGAATATTCTAAATGACTAGATAACATCGCATTGGCCAAGAAAAAGGAATTACTGAAATTAAGATGCAAAATAAGAACATTTTGACTGTGGTAATGGTTATAATAGGGCATATCTAACAAAGATCTCAAAGAAAGAATCTGCAAGATTTGGACACACATCAAACACAAACATTTAGAGAAAGGCCCAAAGCAAAGTTTACGTGCCAGATGGTACAGTCATCCTCCTCATCTGAAGTGAATGACAAAGACAACAGCAGGGGAAAATTAATAGGTCCATTTTTACCAAGCAGAATTTAAATTGATGGCTAGAAATTCCCAATGGGATGTCTAAAGGAGACACAAGGATTTTAGTTTGAAAAGCAAAAAGAGATTTAACTATTTGCAAACAGTGAACTTCTAAAGCACACAAATGTTACAAACCAGTACTTTGGATAAAGTGCTTGGATACAAACTCTGCTATCTACATTAATAAATTATGTATTCTGATCATGAAAAGCTAAAGCAACCCCAAGATGCTTACATTTTTCAGAATGCAGTGAGAGCATTTCTTTGATCTATCATTTCCAAAACTCTAAAGGTGTTAAAAATGGGACCAACAGGAATGGCAGTTAAAGTAGGTTAGAAAAGCAACAGTTAAAACATCAAAGGAGTACAAGAACATTGCTAATTCCTTGACTATACAGAAACCACTTAGTATATTTGCATTAAATGGAATACTTAACTAAACCACATGAAAATTGAAATCAGCAGAAGCAGAGGGACATCACAAACAAGGAAAAAAAGGAGGGAGAGGTCAGAGTATTGTTTCCGCGACTGGCCTGATGAGGGCAGAAAAAGGGGCTCATAAGCCTCCAAATTAATTTTGAAGTCCCTTTCTAAGAAAAAAGCATCCACAATATGGGCTGCTGCCATTTGCTCATTTTTATGCCTGAAATACACACTAAAAAGCTTGTATGACAAATATAAAAAAACTCCACGGTTGCCAGATATTCTCGAAAAATTATCTCCGTTGTCTTAGTTGTCCTCTTCTGCAACTCTGTTTCTAACGAACTAGTCAAGAGCTCAACCTTTTGTTTCTCTGGAATCAAACCAAACAATCACCTTTAAGCTTGTCTGGTGGGAAGAGTGATTTCAATTAAAGCTAGCAACATAAATTGCTGCTCCATAACTAACAGATCTACACACGTTTGTGTGTAAAGGTATCCCATAAAGACACTGGCACAACAAAGATACATTAGGAACTTGAGGAATTCAGACATGACTTCCACCAAGCCAGACAGATCCAAATGAAAAATCTCACCTCATAGATGAAACCAGCATAGATCAGTGTCTGCTGTAGCAAAAGCAGGTAAGGCTTGCTAAAAGACTTGTTTCTCATGAACTCTGGAGAGTTTAATTTTTATTTGTAGGTGAGACTAAGCAGGGATCTAGTGAGGTGAAAAAAGAAAACAGAATCTAGGAGACAAGTATGAAACTCCCACAGAAATCCCAAAGATACTCTAAGACATTCCCGAAGGTGTGAGGGTAAAAAAAAAACCCAGGTAAGAAGAAACCTGCAGAATCTACATAAGAAAAAAGATAAACACCATCATGGTCACATCTATGGAGAGCAAGTGACATTTCAAAGACAACAAGGACAAAATAGTTGTTTTAAGTTAGGACCAGAGAGATTTGATTAGCTCACATCTTCAGGTGGTTTATACAAAAAACATTTTCATTGTCCTCTGAATTGCTGCCATACATCACTTATTTGCAGTGAAAAGCTGATAGTGCTAACTCGAAATGGTGAAGAAAATCATATATTAAATGACTAGAAAAATTCTGAGCAAACACTTGAGACAGTATAAACAGTTATTCGAAGTCAAATCTCTATATAACTTTACTTGGGAAATTAAGAGTCAATCACTAAAATTTTAGTAGAGAAACATTAGAAAGCACTAGATAAAACACAATTGGGTGCTCTACAATCTACCCCCCCCCCACTGCCATTCAGTAGAAATTCAGTCTTGACTGAATAATTCTGCTATTTTTGACTTGAGACTGAAATCACCAATGGTAAATGAAGTAATGCTGTATTTCTTTCTCTTACACTATTTAGACGTATGTACCATTCCTTTAAGACAAAAAAAAGGCTCGCAACAAG